GTCTAACTTCCTGAGAACAAAAGTATTTCTTTTTGTTTTCAGATTTTTATATGCATGTATAAGCATTTAAATGTTATTTTTTGTTTGCGTGACTGAGATCACATTACGTGTATTTTTTCACTTAACAATGTGTCATAGATGTTGTTCCATAGCAGTACCTATAATGAATTGCTATGTAAGACTGTAGAATTTCTTTTTAAAAGAGGACTTGTGGAGATGTAAAGGTCTCACATTATTCTGGCTGCAGAATGTGCTGGTGACATATTCTCTCTACCTTAAGAGGTCCCCATCCCCATCACCTCCATTTCCTGTTAAGTGAGTCAGCCACTTGGTAAACTACATTTGAATGGAGCCGCACTCAAAACGTTTAGTCTTATTCAGACAACAAGGAGGAAAAGTAAAATACCTTATAAAGCACTGTTTAATATTGTATGAAATCGGATCAATTTGGGTGCTAGAGTATATGTTAGAGACATGACATGCCATACGTCCTAGCTATCACAGGTCTCAGGGACAGCAGTTCAGTATCATTTGGGAGCTCATAAGAAGCAGACTCTGCGTGACCTAACAAATCAGAGTCTGCGTTTTAACGGGCTCAGTGAGTGACTTACATGCCCATTGGAGTTTGGGAAGCACCACTGTAGGTGCTTAGACCTTACCTTTGTTGTTGCTAATAACAATGTAAGCATTTGGGAGGAGGACCTGTGTTGCTCATACGTATCCAGGTGTAGCTAAGGTGACCTTGCTTATCTGCTGTAGGGCCATTGAGCATTTGTGTAACTGTGACGAGTGAGCTGAGGTGAGCCTGCAGAGAGCTCCCAGCCATTGGCAGTGGGACTCACTTAGATGAACTGGAAGGACCCTTTCACTCGAGCGCCCACTGTGGGAAAAAACAACTGAATGAAGGTAGAGGCAATGTGCAATTTTATTTACAGTACAAAGGAGAGCTGTGGTTAGAAGGTGACAGTTGAGTGGAAAGAAGGGGACAAGCCATGTGGAAAGCAGGAGTAGAGAGGTCCAGACAGAGTTAATGGAAGGCAGGAATGCTTTCCATGTTTGAGAACTGGGACAGGAGGCCAGTGGTTGAAGCAAGATGAAGGGCAGAAATAGGGGATGAGGCTGGGAGAGATGAGAGATTAGAGACGAGGGTCTTGTGCACCAAGATAAACTTGTGTGGTCAAACAGGTAGTTTAATGTATGTTTTCAAGAGATCACTTTAGCTGGGCGCAATGGCTCATGCCTGTAATACTAGTACTTTGAGAGGCCGAGGTGGGAGGATTGCTTGAGGCTGGGGGACCAGCGTAGCCAACATAGCAACACCTACAAGGTCTCTATAAAAAACCTAAAAATTAGCTGGGCAGAGTGGTATATGCCTGTAGTCCCACCTACTCAGGAGGCTGAGGAGGCTGGAGTATTATCCAGGAGTTTGAGGCTGCAGTGAGCAGTGATTGTGCCACTGCACTACAGCTTGGGGAAGAGAGTGAGACCCTGTCTCTAAAAAAAAAAAAATCTGTAAAACAGAAAAGATCACTTTGACAGCACCACATGCTGGTGAGGATTTAGAAAAACTAGGTCACTTAATCATTGCTGTTGGGAATATCATGTAGTATGGCCACTCTGGAAAACAATTTGGTGGTTTCTTATAAAACTGAACATGCAACCAGCAGTAGCTGCAGTCCTAGGCATTAATCCTAGAGAAATGAAACTTAACGTTCACATAAAAACCTGTACTCAAGTGTGCATAGCAGCTTTACCGTCAACATCTAAAAACTGGAATCAGCTCAGATGTCCTTCAGCAGGTATATGATTAAACTACTCAGCAATAAAAAGGAATGATCTACTGATAGCAGGCAATAGTTTACATGAAGTTATGCTAATGAAAAAAGCCAATCCCAGAAGGTTACATATTGTGATCCTATGTATATAACATTTTGAAATGACACAGTTTTAGCGATGGAGAATAACTTAGTGGTTGCCTGGGGGTAGAGGAAAGAGAAGAGAATAGAGGTGAGTGTGGTTATAAAAGGACAACACGGGGATACTTGTAGTGGAAATGCTTTGTCTTTTTTTTTTTTTTTTTTGGAGACAGAGTTCTTGCTCTGTCACCCAGGCTGAAGTGCAGTGGTGTGATCTTGGCTCACTGCAACCTCTGCTTCTTGGGTTAACGGGTTCAAGTGATTCTTATGTCTCAGTGTCTCGAGTAGCTGGGACTACAGGTGCATACCACCGTGCTTGGCTGATTTTTGTGTTTCTCGTAGAGACAGGGTTTCACCATGTTACCAGGCTGGTCTCAAACTCCTGACCTCCCGTGATCCGCCTGCCTCGGCCTCCGAAAGTGATGGGATTACAGGCGTTGAGCCACTGTGCTTGACCAAGGAAAGAGATGCTTTGTCTTGACTGTGGCATATAGAAATTGTATATAACTAAATATATAAATGAGCAAAAATAAAGCTCCTCGAAAATCTAAGTAAGATCAGTGGATTGCATCACTGTCAATATTCTGGTTCTGATAGTGTTCTTACTACGTTAAATAGTTTTGCAAAATGTTACCATTGGGAAAAAATGGGTAAAGGGTACACTGCATCTCTGTTATTTCTTACAGCTGCATGTGAATCAATAATTATCTTAACAAAAACTTCAATTAAAAAAAAGTCTGCCTGGTCTATAGCTGGGAGGCTACTTAAGTCATCAAAGCCGGACATGCTGGTGGCTTTGATGCTACCATGACTGGTAGCAGTGGTGGTGGCAAGTGGTCAGATTCTGGATCTCTTGAAGGAAGATCTGACAGGATTTGCAGATTCTTTAAAAAAAAAAATGAGATTATAATTCACATACCTAAAATTCACCATTTTTAGAATGACTTCGTTGATAATTTCTAAGATGTGATTATAGAATACCATAGTGTCCATGAGTTTACATGCTCCTCCTCACATTTGTGTGCCTGTGCAGATGGCTTGATTACACAATTAGAAGAGGCTGACTGAGGTTTGTTTTAATTTTTTTTTTGAGGCAGAGTCTTGCAGATGCCCATCACCATGTGCAGCTAATTTTTGGTATTTTTAGTAGAGACAGGATTTCACCCTGTTGGCCAGGCAGGTCTCGAACTCCTGACCGCAGGTCATCTGCCGCCTTGGCCTCCCAAAGTGTTTGGGATTACAGGTGTGAACCACCACACCAGGCTGTTTGTTTTAATTTTGAAGGTGAAGTTAAAGTGACTACATTTACCAAAAGTGGTTGAAAAGCCAACACTGTTCTTACCCTGTCTTTCCACTTCTTGCTTAGAGCAAGGCGGTTTCTTTTTCACTTTAATTACCATACTTACTTTTCATGTATAACAAGTCAGTTTGAATTATCAGTTCATCATCTAATTAAATTCCATGGGGGAAGGAATTAGTTTTAGTTTTCCTAAACTTTCAAGTTTGCTTATTGGACAAAATGAGATAGAAAGGTAGTATTTTTCAGTTAGATTTTTTTATTTCTTTGGTAATATAAATTTCTCACAAACTTAGTAGTCTTCTAGTTTAATTGTTTTTGGTTGGTCCTATGTTTTGGATTATCCCTCTCTACTATATTTTGATAGTGCCAACTGTGAAGACATCTGAAGCCACAGATAGTTTGGATGGGAAGGAGTCACCTTTAGCCTGATTATCTTTGCCAGGCTGTTTATCTCCTTTTGCTTAGCTGAGAAGTTTTTTTTTTTTTTTTTTTTTTTTTTTGAGATGGAGTTTTGCTCTCGTTGCCCAGGCTGGAGTGCAATGGTGCTATCTCGGCTCACTGCAACCTCCGCTTCCCGGGTTCAAGTGACTCTTATGCCTCAGCCTCCCGAGTAAGCTGGGATTACAGGCATGCACCACCATGCCTGGCTAATTTTTGTAGAGATGGGATTTCTCCATGTTGGTCAGGCTGGTCTCAAACTCCTGATCTCAGGTGATCTGCCTGCCTTGGCCTCTCAAAGTGTTGGGATTACAGGCGTGAGCCACCGTGCCTGGCCTGAGAATTCTTAATAGGAGGCTTATTCCCAGCTATTTGGGGACATGGAAGTGGTTAGCCATTGTTTATATTTTACTGAGGTCTGTGTGGTATGTTGAGTACAGTCAGTTAACGATGTGATTTTAAGAACTGAAGGCAGCTGGTATATAGAGTAGGTATTGTGTTTCTTTGAATTGAATTGCCCATCTGTTGTAATCTATGCCATCATCTATACTGCTGAGAAAGAAAAAAAGTTTCTAATCAAACTATAACATGCCATTGGTTGTAAGATGCAGTTCGGTTTTAGTGATGCTAACATGATACAAACGTGAAATTAATTGAGAATTGGTGAAATACAGAGTAGATTTAAAGCCAGAAGACCTGAGTTTAAATGCTGGCTGTATGACTTCATATCTGTGTGATCTTGGGCATGTCATGGTTGGCACTTGAATGTCTTCTTTCTGTAATGGGGAAAGTGAGGCTAGTCATGATGACTCATGCCTATAATCCCAGCCATTTGGGAGGCCAAGATGGGAAGATTGCTTGAGGCCAGGAGTTTGAGCAATTGGGTAACATAGTGAGACTCCGACCCTACAAAAAATTTAAAAAAAAATTAGCCAGACCTGGTGGTGCATGCCTGTGGTCCCTGCCACTCAGGAGTCTGAGATGGGAGAATCCTTTCAGCCTAAGAGTTTAAGGCTAAAGTGAACCATGATTATACTACTGTATTCCAGCCTGAGCAGCAGAGCAAGATCCTAACTCTAAAAAAAAGTAAAATAAAATAAAATGGGGAAAATGAGCTGCTTTGGTAACATCATCTGTTTTTTCCGTGAGCAGCGTAGCTTGAAAGCTGTTGGTGAGCTCACATCCTGTGCTTCCCTGTCCTGATCCCCATTTGGCCCCCAGCGTGGAGTGTTATGGTTTATTCATAGTAGTCAGGAAGCACTCATTGAATGAATGAATGATGTGTAGAAGTAAGCGCCAATGGATAATTCAGCACATACTAATTTCCTTCTTTTTTTTATTTTTAGAAAGAAAGAACTTTCAGCCACCAAGAAAGACCGTGTGAATCATTGTCTGACAATATGTGAAAACATAGTGGCCCAGTCTGTCAGGTGATTGCACTTTGAACTGTCTAGAGAAAATAAGAACTGTGTATATTTTCAGTCTAATGGGCTAGAATATTCTTTGTGTCCCCGTTATTTTAAATGGATTCAGAAATCCATTTAAAATAAAGAAGGACCCGTTTCCCATATTTCTGGCTATATGCAAGGATATCCAGACACTAAGATGAATAATGTTCCCTTTTTATAATCTTTTATGCAAAAATTGTAACCATTATGGGTAATTGAACAACATGTTTATGTTTAATTAGCACCCCTAGCAACTATGGTTATTTTAAAATCTTCTGTGGTTTGATATTTTTGCATTTGTTGCAATAGTAGGGACAGCACAAGACCATACAGTTTGTCTCTGTCATTTGCTTTCCTTCAGCAGTTTGCTGCTGTTTATTCTTCCCTGTTGGGGTACCTGTGTTCCTGGCAGTGGCTGGAGCCTGCTCCTCTCTGCTTTGGGATTAATGGGGTCGTGGGGCATTGATTGTAGGTCAGCTTTCCTTGCATGATCTTTCTCAATGGGGTGATCTAGCAGCACCTTCTTTTGTAACTGCTTTGCTTTTGACTCTCTTTCTGACTGTTATTCCTAGTAGCTGTAGATGGTAAATATATTTAGGCCTGTTTCCAGTGGCTGAGTAGGAGACATATGTACCTATGATATCTGAATTCTGTTACCCAGATGGACATGTGTGAAATAACTTGCCTTGCTTTACTTTCCCTTGGAATAAATAATTCATATTATTCTCCTGCTGGAAGCTAGAAAAAGCTCTTTATAATTGCTTAGAAAAAGATTTTTAGACAAATAATCTTGATTTTAGTACTGACAAAAATGTTTGGTGATTTATTTGTTTTTTAAAAAATTTTCCTCTTGGCCATTGCTTTTCACTGTTTTCTTTTTAGTGTGGTAAAATACATGTAATATTTACCATCTTAACTGTTTTTAGGTATACTTTCAGTATATATATTCATAATGTTGTATAGCCATCACTGCCATCCACTTCATAAGTTTTTCACGTCACAAAACTGAACATCTGTCTCATTAAACTCCCCATTATCTGTCCTTTCCTGTAGCCCCTTTCTATTTCTGTCTCTATGAGTGTAACTGCTCTAGAGACCTCATATAAGTGGAATCCCACGGGATTTGTCTTCTTTTTGGTGATCTGCTTATTTTTAATGCCACTGTACATTTGTATTTTACACTTTCAAAGTGGTTTCATAAAACCATTTCATTTTAGGTTAACTCATTTCTATTGTGTGTGAAATACTGTGTATGATTCTGTTCTGTTTCTGTCTAATTTGTAGAAATGTTGTGGGAAGAAAATGAAATAACAAATGAGCATATGTCCTGAAAATAAAAATATAAAAATTCTAAGTTAGCATGCTATTGTAGAACACAACACTATGATAAAAGTAGGGGAAAGAAAAGGTTTGAATTCTGTCTCTGCTGCCTGTGTAAGCCAGGTGACTTTAGATAAGTTTTAACGTGTTTGAGCCCTCACTGGCTCGTTTTTGAAATGTAATCCCTAGTTACACAGTTCTTGTGGGTCAGATGATGCATGTGAAACACTGTGAAGAAGTAACTGCTAGATGTGTTCATTAGCCACCTGAGTGGGAAGCATATCCTGTTGCGATGCCCATCCAAAGCTGTACGTTATCTTTACTTTTCTTGTGAAATGACTTTAAATACTTGGCAAACATTTGGTTGTTGTTCATCTGATCTTCACCATCCAGGTCTCAGGAAATATAATTTCTCTCTGAAAGCTTATTGACCCAGGAAACAAGATCTCTTCCAATATGAGTGGATAAGGCTTTATTCTAAGCATTTTGTTTTTTGAGAATTTTCAAATGGAATTCATGGAATGTTGGCTCATATTCGCATATTAATAAAGTATGTTGAGATATCTTAAGATTGATTTGTGGTTCTATTTGCCGTATTAAATCAAAATAATAGCTGCTAATGGTTTTCACATCAGTCTGTCTCTTGTTTTTATGGAGTAATGCTGAGAGTTCATTATGTTTCTTGCTCTACTGAAGAGCATGTTAAAAGGATTTTTTTTGGAGTCAGAGTGGTTGTCCTTGGTTTCACAGGATGTGCTCTATACTTTGCAGGGATTTCAGAGTATATGGCTGAAGTTGATATTTTATATAAATGTTTTATGGAAACTTATTGATGATCACTGTTTCCCGTTATCTCTCCTAGAATATAATTAAATCTTTGGAACTGTTTTATATTTGTCTCCATCGAGGTTGTATAAATGGCAGCTTCTGAGGTTTTCAGTGCAGGAGGTCATCTAAAACTTCGTGTATATTGTGAAAATGTAGTCTGCTTTAAGTACTCTAAAGTGGTGTAAGTTACTGGTTCCTAAGTATGGATGAGCATCAAAATCATCTGGAAATTTTGTTTAAAATATAGTAACGAAGGTACCTCACTGTCCTTTTTCCCAAACACACTTCTGCATTCTGTTTTGGTAGGGCCTAGGCATTTTTCACAAGTATCCTCTTGGGAACACCCAGGAATGCTCACTTGAGCAACCTCTTACTAATATATACTTTGATAAAGTTGCTAGGTAAAAAGAGATAATATAAAAATCCATAGATTTCTCATGTATTAGCATAAATCAGCTAGAAAATATAATGTTTAAAGATCTAGTTCACAGTAGCACCAAAGTATCGAATTCTAGGGAATTGATAAGAAATATGCAGAAACTTTATAAAGACTTCTATTAATGTTTCTGAAAGACACAGGTGACCACTCTCTAGACAGGAAGATTTTATATCACTAAGTTGAGTTTTCTCTAAATTAACGCAGAAATTTAAAATAATCTTGATCAAAATTCTACTAGAGTTATTTTTGAACTTGTTGACTGCAAGAATAAATATATAATTGCAAAGAATATCTGGAAATCATCACTAGGCCCAGTGTGGTGGCCCATGCCTGTAATCCCAGCACTTTGGGAGGCTGAGGCAGGTGATCACCTGAGGTCAGAAGTTTGAGACCAGCCCGCCCAATGTGGTGAAACCCCGTCTCTACTAAAAATACAAAAATTAGCTGGATGTGGTGGCACATGCCTGTAGTCCCAGCTACTCAGGAGGCTGAGGCAGGAGAATTGCTTGAACCCAGGAGGCAGAGGTTGCGGTGAGCCGAGATCATGCCACTGCACTCTAACCTGGGTGACAAGAGCAAAATTCTGTCTCAAAAATAAAAAGAAAAAAGAAATCATCACTAATATGGTGAGACCTGATGTATGTGACATTAAAATAGTGATTGGACATTAAAGCAGGTATAGAACAGAAAGTTAGAAGAGTGTATGTGTGTATCTGTGTGAATTTATGATGGGTGTAACATGTTTGTAGTAGAAGAGAAATAATACATTTATCTGTTTGGGAGAACATTATGTCTCTGTCTCATATTGCAAACAAACATAAAGTTCAGATTAATTACCCAAATATGAAAAAATGAAATAATTTCTCCCAAAAAGTTTAATCTTAGATTGAAGAAGGCTAACATTATAAAGGAAAAAACTGTTTTGATGGGAATATAGTTCAGTATGTCAAAATCCACCTTACATGAAATTGAAAATAAATTGAACTTGGTGCTAGCTTGTGTAAAGAGCAATTATAAATCACTAAGATAAAGCCTGTCAGCCTATTGGCACCTTGTTCTCAGACTCCCAGCCTCCAGAACGGCGATGAGTAAATGCCTGTTGTTTAAACCACCCGGTCTATATGTGACATTTTGTTACAGCAACTCAAGCTGATCAGGACACCAGGAATCAGTAGAATGAGACTAAAACAAAAATAAGAACCTTTTTAACCTGTCAAACTGGCAAACATTTAGAATACTCAGATTTTTGCCAGAGTTGATACAACCTTCTAAGAAGACAATTTGGCAAAATAGAAAGCTTTAGATTTTTGTCTGTCTAACCAGCGGTTTTACCTCTGGGGCACTTAACCTAGGAAAGGATGCAATGACATTGGTGCAGTGCTGTTCATCCCATTAGAAAATTAAAAATAAACTTAATGACATATCACCAAAAAGGGAATTGAAAAATTAAGATACATTTATTGTTTTTATTTATGTATTTATTTATTGAGATGGTGTCTTGCACTGTTGCCTGGGCTGGAGTGCAATGACACAATCTTGGCTCACTGCAACCTCCTGCTTCCTGGGTTCAAGTGATTCTCCTGCCTCAGCCTCCCGAGTAGCCGGGATCACAGGCACGCACCACCACACCTGGCTAATTTTTTGTATTTTGGCAAAGATGGGGTTTCACTATGTTGGCCAGACTGGTCTTGAACTCCTGACTTTGAGATCCGCTCACCTTAGCCTCCCAAAGTGCTGGGATTATAGGCGTGAGCCACTGCGTCGGCCATATTTTGTTTACGCTTTATTAATTTTTTTTTTTTTTTTAGATGCAGGGTCTTTCTCTGTCATCCAGGCTGGGTGCAGTTGCATAATCACAGCCCACTGCAACCCAAACTCCTGGGCTCAAGTGATCTTCTGCCTCAGGTTTTGAGTAGCTGGGGGACTTTCGGCAGTGCTACTGCACCTGGCTAATTTTTAAATGTTTTATAGACGGGCTTTCGCTATGCTGCTGAGGCAGGTCTAGAATTCCTGTGCCCAAGTGATCCTCCCACCTTGGCCTCTCAAAGCACTGAGATTACAGGCATGAGCCACCACTTCTGACCAATAGATATTGACATTTGTGACTGGAAAATATATTAACAATGTGTTAAAAAATTCTATTAAAAAATCATGAAAGGTTTTTGCTTCTGGCTAAGATAGAATAACAAGGACAGCATTTATCTTTTTGCCTTGAAATAGTTGAAAATGGATGAAATATACATAACAGAGTTGGGCATCAGGCAAAGAATAGTTATCCCAGGAAAATGAATGTGGATAGCCCTATAATTTCCTTACGTTACTTCCTGGCCATCTGGCCATGGCAAGAGGAATAACTGAGAGGAAGCTGAGGCTGAGCTAGCGGTTTGTTGGGTTGAAGAGGCATAGCTGGGAGTCTAGAGAGGCTGCAGTGGTTAGAGCCCCTACGGAAGAATAGCAGAGAAGAGAGCTGCAGAGGGAGTTCTGGAAAACTGCATAGTGCTCTCTTAAGGGTGTAGCTGAGTATTGATGAGCACAGGCCTGTGAGGAAATGATCCAGGGCTGGAGGTAGAATCACCTAAAAGGATTAGAAGGAACCATTGCCGAAACTCATACAGGGCCAGGAAGAATTTGTAATCACACCGGTTGGAGGGGAAAGCCTCAGCTCTCATAGTGCAGGTAGGGTACTTAGAAAGATTTGCCCACCTAGCCCCAGACTAAGTTTTGTTACTCTGATCCCACCTAATATTAAAAAGAGATTAATTTGTTTGCAACAAAAATAATACATTTCAGGGTTTATAACATGTAGAAATGAATTGTATGACAGTAGCATAAAGGCTGGAAGAGCAGAAATTGAAATATATTTGTGCTAGGCAGAATAGTGCTCCCCTCTTTCCCTAAAATATATCAAGTCCTGGCTGGGTGCGGTGGCTCATGGCTGTAATCCCAGTACTTTGGGAGGCCGAGGCGGGTGGATCATCGGAGGGCAGGAGTTCAAGACCAGCCTGACCAACAAGGTGAAACACCGTCTCTACTAAAAGTTAGCTGGGTGTAATGGTGGTCACACCTGTAGTCCCAGCTACTTAGGAGGCTGAGATAGGAGAATTGCATGAACCGAGGAGGCGGTGGTTGCAGTGAGCAGAGATCAAGCCACTGCACTCCAGCCTGGGTGAGAAGCGAGACTCCACTCCCTCCGCCAAAAAAAAAAAAATAATAATAATAATCAGGTCCTAATCCCTAGAACCTGTAAATATTACTTTATAAGAAAAATTGTTTTATGGCGTGATTAAATTCAGGATCTTGAGATGGGGGGCTATCTTGGATGATCTGGATGGGCATTACATGCAATCACATGTATGCTTATAAAAAGGAGGCAGAGGGAGATTTTACACACACACACAAGGCCATGTGAAGATGGAACAGAAAGATTTGAAGGTGCTGGCCTTGAAAATTGGAGTGATGATGCTACAAGCCAAGGAATGCAGCAGCCACCAAAGCTGGAAGAGGCATGGACCAATTCTCCTTTAGAGCCTGTACCAGAGGGAACGTGGTGCTGCCAATACCTTAATTTCAGCTCGGTGATACTAATTTTGGACTGTGGCCTCCAAAACTATGAAAGAATAAATTTTTTGTTTGTTTTAGGCCACATAGTTTGTGTTAATTTGTGATAGCAGCGGCAGAAAACGAATTTCATGCTGCATGTGAAATGGTATATTATCATTAAGGTAGATTGTGGCGAAGATACACATTGTAAGCAATTAAGCGACAACCAAAAGCACAGCAAGGAGTTATAGCTAATGAACCAGAAAAGAAGATTAAATAGAATTATAAAAATAGTGAATCCCAGAGAAGCCAGAAATAGGGGAAAAGGCAAATAAAGAGCATATGGGACAAATAGGAAAGAGCGAGCTTGATGGTAGATTTAAACTAGTTATGTCAAAAAGGACAGTAAATGTAAAAGGCACAGATTTTTCAGATGGAATGGAAAAGTAAGACTCAGTATATGCTGTTGCCTGCAAGAAACCCATTCTAAATATAAAGGCAAAAACAGCTTACAAGTAACAGAACGGAAGGAAGTTCACCATGCTCACAAGAATGAGATGAAAGCTAGACTGGTTCTATTAATAGCAGACAAAGTGGATTTCAAAGCAAAGGCTATTGCCCAGGATGAGATGGTCGTTTCATAATGATGAAGGAGATTCATTTGTTCATCAGCCCGGCATAATAAGCTGAAATGTTTATGCACCTGGCTACAGAGCCGAAATATATGAAGCTAAGCCTGACAGAACTGTAAGTAGACACAGACAGATCCACAGAGAGAGAGATTTCAGTAACCTCTCTTAATGATTTGTAGAACATGTAGCTGTAATATCTGGATCTAGAAAACTTGAACAACACTGTCCCCTTATGCGACCTGATTGGCATTTACAGGACACTCCAGAATGTCTGCCAAGATAGATCAGATACTGGGCCATAAAACAAGTCTCTAAATTAGAAGCATTCAAATTATTCAGAGTATGTTTTCTGACTCCAATATCATTAAGTTGGAATATATTATAGGAAGATAATCTGGAAAAAGCCTCAGGTATGTGGAAAAACTCATTTCCACGTGGCCCATGAGTCAGAGTGAAGTCAAAAGGGAAATTTGAAAGTCTTTCGAATTGACTAATATAAAAACAAGACATTTCTAAACTTGTGGGGTGCTGTTATAGCATATTAAAGGGAAATTTCTAGCATTAAATGCCTGTTTTAGGAAAGAAAGATTTCAAATCAATGACCTCAGCTTCCACCTTTGGAAACTTGAAAATGTCAAGCAGATGGAATCCAGAGTTACCAGAAGGGCCAAGTGTGGTGGCTCATGCCTGTAATTCTGGCACTTTGGGAGACCAAGGCAGGCAGATTGTTTGAGACAGGCAGTTCGAGACCAGCCTGGGAAGCATAGGGAGCCCCATATCTACAAAAAAAATACAAAAAATTAGCCAGCTATGCCAGCTAACCAGGAGCCTTTAAGGCGGGAGGATTGCTTGAGGCTGGGAGGTTGAGGCTGCAGTGAACAGTGATTGTGCCACTGTGCTACACCCTGGGCAACAGAATGAGACCTTATCTCAAAAACAAAAAGTTACTAGAAGAATGGACATCATAAAGATAAGAGCAGAAGTCAGTAAAATAGAAAACAGAAATACATAGAAAATCAGTAAAACCAAAAGCTGGTTGATCGAGAACATCAATAAATTGGTAAGGCTGATAGAAAAAAAGTGAAGTCACAAATTATCAATATCAGGAATGAGGGAGATGACAGTAGTACAGATTATATAGATATTAAAAGGACCATATAAGGCCAGGTGCAGTGACTCATACCTGTAATCCCAGCACTTTGGGAGGCCAAGGCAGACAGATCACCTGAGGTCAGGGGTTTGAGACCAGCCTGGCCAACATGGTGAAACCTTGTCTTTACTAAAAATATAAAAATTAAGCCAGGTGCAGTAGCTCATACCTGTAATCCCAGTACTTTGGGAGGCTGAGGTGGGTAGATCATGAGGTCAGGAGTTGGAGCCCATCCTGACCAACATGGTGAAACCCTACCTCTACTAAAAATAAAAAAAAAAAATTTAGCTGGGCGTGGCGGCACATGCCTGTAGTCCCAGCTACTCGGGAGGCTGAGGCAGGAGAATCGCTTGAACCCAGGAGGCGGAGGTTGCGGTGACCGAGATTGCGCCATTGCACTTCATCTTGGGGGACAGAGCAAGACTCTGTCTCAAATAAAAATAAAAATAAAAAAAGGACTATGTGGGAATATTATGAACAACTTTATGCCAATAAATTTGACTACTTATAGATGAAATGGGTAAGTTCCTTGAAAGACACAAACTATTAGAGCTCTCTCAAGAAGAAATAGGTAAGCTGATTAGCCCTATATCTATTTTATCACATTTACATGTAAAAATCAATATTTATTAAAGTGTGGTTGGAAATGGTATATGAACTTTTTTGACTGGATTTTAAAAAACTTTACTAAGTCTAAACATAGGTAAAGTTTTTCTGATGAAAATTTAGTGTCTGAATTGAGAAGTGCTTTAAAAAATGTAGTTATATATCTTAATCATTTCTTCATAATAATCACATGTTGAAATAATAGTTTGGGTGTATTGGGTTAAATGAAACATTATGAAAATCTTGCCTATTTTCTTTTTAATTTTGATGTGTCAGCTAGGAAATATAAAATTATAGCTCACATTCTGTTTCTGTTGACAGCAGTGCTTTTGAGCACAGCGTTTGAATGATCTGGTATTTCAAAGACCTTTCCTCAGTTCGTTATTCATGGCTGTATTCCGCATGGATAAACTCTGAAATACTGCTAAGTGGGATGTTTTGTTTTATGCTTTTATAAGTTTGTTGATCATTACTGATGTGGTCCCTTGGTACTTCTTAGGCTCATGGCTACCTTTCAACCATTGTTTGGAATTTTTACCTAGAGATAAAGAGGAAGAGAGATTCGATTTCAGAGTATGTTAGATTGAGATCATGAAACAGCAATCTGATTTTGATGCTTCAAAAATAGCACATCCCCTGTATTACTGGGATTTACTATTCTTGGGATTACTTCAAGAACATCCTCGTGTTACTGGTTTGGATGCTTCCAAATGCTGTGAAGTCAGTTTCATGTACATGGCTCATCAGTTCAGCCCTCTCGGCTTTGTTTAGACAGTTGGATCATGATGGCCTAAACAGTGTCTTTCAGTTAAACATTTAAAAATAGTTTACAAATAGTACACAAACTCCAGTTTTTGTGACTCTTTCATATTCGATCCAGCACAACAAAAACACAATCTGATTACGATTTACTGGCATCTTAGGGTGAAATATGGTTATACTTTTGTATGTGTTGAAAGCAAGATTAAAAAGGGGCAAGAGAGATACACTGCTCTACTGATTGTCAAGGTTCCAAGGATATTGTAGGGTAAGAGTAAAAGTAAACTTCTGGCAGAAAGTGGTGGGTTGTCTGGGATTGAACTATCTGAAGTTTTTAAACAAAAGTTTAAAAAGAAAAATGAGAATTGCTTTACAAGTACAATCTCTCTTTTTAAATTTTATTTTGGAATAGTTTTAGATTTATAGAAAAAAATTACAAAGATAGGGTAGTGTTCATATATCCTACACCCAGTTATCCAATTGTCATCATCTTACATCCGTGTAAGACATTTTCATGTTTAATGAATTACTATTGATATGCTACTAACTAAAGTCCAGACTTTGTTCAGATTTTCTTAGTTTCTGTGTAATGTCTTTTTTCTGTTCCAGAATTCCATGCAGGACACCGGATACTTCATTACATTTCATCGTCATGTCACCTTAGGTTCCTGTTGACAGTTTCTCTTCTTTTTTGCTTAGAAATTCTCCAGAATTTCAGAAACTTCTGGGCATCGCTATGGAACTTTTTCTGCTGTGCAGTGATGACGCAGAGTCAGATGTCAGGATGGTGGCTGATGAATGCCTCAACAAAGTTATCAAAGTAAGAACTGTGTGGACGGTGTTCCCCTCCGAGCTGCCATCATTGTAGGCTAAGAGAAGAAGCCATTGTGGAGCATTCTTCTGTTTTGGGTCCCTGAGGATGTGTGAACTTTTTTCCTTTCTGGTGTGTGGTTTGGAGGTGCTCTGGTATCTGCCTGCGTTGCTTGCCACACCTGCCTGGTCAGAAGGAGCTGTGTTGACCCTTGTGCCTGCACGGTGCCTAGGTCAGTGAAGGGAACTGATGGTGGCCCCTGGATACTCCTGGGAAAATGTCACTACAGGTGCCAGAGAAGCCGGAGCTATACGCACATTTCCACAAGTCTCAGTTTCCTTCACTATAAGATGGGATCAGAGTTTTTGTGGCGTGTGTGTGAGTGTGCGTCTGTGTGTGTATGAGGGTTAAATGCACTCATTGCCGCTACTGGACCCTCAAAGTGGTAGAATAATTATTAATACTTTTGCATAACGACATCCTTACACGCTTACCCAGCAAGATTGATGGGCGTGGCTCTGCTTCTCTTTTTCCATCACACGGACTCCATGGTATCCTTTTGCCCAGGAAATCTTTCCTTCCTGGCTAGCCCTTTGTTAGCTAATCACGCTTTCTGTGGTCAGGACACTGGCTTCTCTGGAGCCATGGGATTCTAGCTCCCTCTGTTGTCCCTAGAGTGGTCCCTGTCTCCTCTCTCTGCTGACACTTCCTGCTTTGCACGCATCTCACTCCTGTGGTGACCTGTATCAGTGTCATCTTGTTCTTTGTACCTGCTGGTCATTGGTGCCACTTGTATGTGGATGGCATCCCGTAGGGTATTTGCAGAGGCCTGCTTCTGCTTAAGCCTGGTTCTCCACAGGCCTAACTATCCTTGCTTGTGTCTGTTATTCCCACTGGCAGGACCAGGCTGGCCTTTTTTAGATGAAACAGGATCTCGCTCAGTCACCCAGGCTGGAGTGCAGTGGGTGATCATGGCTTACTGCAGCCTTGACCAACTGGGCTCAAGCTATCTTCCTGCTTTGGCTCCTTGAGTAGCTGGTACTACAGGTGTGCACCACTATGCCCAGCTAATTTTTAAAGTTATTTGTAGTTACAGGATCTTACCATGTTGCCCAGGCTGGTCTTGAACGCCTGGGCTCAAGTGATCCTCCCTCTTTGGCGTCCCAAAGTGCTGGTATCACAGGTGTGAGCCACTGAGCCTGGCCGTTGCTGTTTCAATTCTTGATATTTGATCCTCAGAGTCTGAAAATCTGAAAAGAGGATTATCCTAGGTTGCCTTGGTTCATGGCGAATGGGACATTAAGAGGGCAAGAGAATAATATGACCAAAAAGTGTTCTAATATTGGTCATTTAACGTGTAAGTATTGTTATTTTTTAAACCTCCTTCTTCAGTTTTTCCCAGGAATTCCATGGGCTTGGTGTGTGTCTGAGGGCTGTAGGCTATGGCCCTGAGTTATGGGTTTAGGACTCAGGTGCTCTTCCTGGCTGTCTCCTTGCTTCTCTCCCATTTCCTCTTCTTTGTTCCCAGCCATTTCTCTCTTCTGCTTAAGTTTGGTGCAGCAGGGTTTGGCTGTTCACAGGTTCCTACATCCTCAGATGCTGTAGTTGTCAGGCCCAGCGGGCTGGCAGTGGCATCAGGATCTGGCTAGGTTTGCTCTCACTGTGGCAGAGGAGCGGCAGGTTTGGGAGAGCACGTGTGGCCCCAGACCAGGTGTAGGGAGCACAGGTATGGTCACTTAGCCTTCAGGTCCTGACTTTGTCTTCTCATGAATATCACCGTATGTGTATGTTGAGAACCAGGTTCTACTTAGCCCAAGAAAATGGGCACATTTTGCTTGTGGTTTACCTAGAGAAATGCACTGGAATCTGACATAGCCTGGCAGCATGCCTCCCTCAAGTAGGTTAGTCTCAGGTGATGAAGCATGTGTGTCCAGCAAGAGCTTGACATGTGGCATAAAGTGTCTGTTCTGTGAGGTGTTGGCAAATTGCCGTGACCATCAGAAGGCTGAAGTGATTTCTGTCTCGGGAGGCAGGGAAGGCTCCCTGGAGGCAGGAGCCAATAGGTAAAAGAGTAGATTGGAGACCTTGTTAACCATAACTGCATCTTGGGGCGAGGGATGCCAGGACTCTGTGGAGGCTGAGAGGAGGGGGAACCCATCTTATGCTGCCAGAGAGTGGGACACCATGAGGCTCAAGTCAAGGGGTTGTACCTTGTTTGGTAGAGAATGAGGGGCTTTTGAAGACTGCCTGTGCGGTCAGGGGAATGTATTATTTGGGAAGAGTGATCTGGTGAGGACGTGGGTGGAGGAGGACAGAGGTGGGAGGGCGTACAGGTAGGAGTGAGTAGGCCCGGCAGGAGCGTAGGGCCTCAAGCCAGGGTGGTGGCAGGGCTGTGAGGGGAGGCAGCCACCTGTATGTCTGCGGAAGCAGGGGCAAGAGGGAAGAGGCTGGCGGTACACCACCATCACCTAGCGACTGGCGTCGATTGTGAGAGCCCGTTCCCTGCTCTTAGGAGGGGCTGAGTTTTCGCTTTCTCTTGTTGTAAAATAAGCTTGGTGTTTGTTTACAAAACACTTGTAAAGCTAAATCACGCTGTGATAAGGCTTCTAGTTTTATTTAAGGAGTAATGTTTAAATAAATGTTTGTCCAGTTTGGTTTGCTCATTTAAGGACTTTCAGTACAAACTGCAACAGCAGAATCAGGATTTAAAAATTTCTGAGACATTATTGCCCCTCAGAATTTCCCAGAATGTGATCTGCTTTTGATTTTCAAGCATTTGGAAGAGAAGGCTCCCATGGGTGAGAATGGGGCACCAAAGTCTTCCCTGTCCCGTCCCCCAGCTTGAGAAGCCAGTCTCTAATGTGGACTTTGTGCCGTTAGCATCGTTATTGGCTTAAAGTTGACCATGTGGCCATAATTTCTGGTTTAGCCTCACCAGTGAGCAAGGAGGGTTAAGAGGTGCTGTGAGGAACATGGGGCTCCCAACTGGCAGTAAACTCTGGGTTGGGGGAAGGGGTCCATGGCTACACCTGCAGAAAGGATGCAGGACTCAGCCTCAAGAAGCGTTCTGGGCTGGGGCAAGGGTCCTGTGGTTTCATTAGTACACTCTCAGCGCCCGGGACCCTGTAGATGTCCAGGGCACTGTCTGAGCCTTTGTCATCCAACAGAATGTTCACGTAGTGAAGGTTAAAGATTTACTCCAGGGGCTTTAGGATTTATTATATATGAACCACCTACCATTTAAATTTTGATATTATGTAGTATTTGATGATAATGAAAATTAAATTGTTGTTCCATTTTTCTATTTAATTGAATGACCTGTATTTTGTAGTTTATTCAGTAACTTCCTGCATATATTTCCTTCTTTCTTTCTTAATGAATATATTCTTAATTTAGTTGCTATTATGTTTTACTTTGCCCCAAAATTGAAATCTTAGTTCCCTTTTGGCTTGCTTAGAACTGCTGATGGAATGTGTCTTCCAAAAATAAATCTCATGTGTTTTGTTGTAGGCTTTGATGGATTCTAATCTTCCAAGGTTACAGCTCGAGCTCTACAAGGAGATTAAAAAGGTGGGCTCTTCTTTTCTTTTTAAAAAATGTTTTAAATTTTTATTTATTTATTTATTTTTGAGACGGAGTCTTGCTCTTTTGCCAGGCTGAAGTTTAGTGGCATGATCCTGGCTCACTGCAACCTCTATCTCCCGGATTCAAGTGATTCCCCTGCCTCAGCCTCCTGCGCAGCTGGGACTACAGGCACATACTGCTATGCCTGGCTAATTTTTTGTATTTTAGTAGAGATGGGGTTTCACCATGGTCAGGATGGTCTTGATCTCCTGACCTCATGATCTGCTTGCCTCAGCCTCCCAGGCATGAGCCACCATGCCTGGCCTAAATTTTTAATTTTTATAGGTACATTTTGTAGGTACATGTAAGTGTATGTATTTACGGGATACATGAGGTTTTTTGATACAGGTAGATAATACATAATAATCACATTATGGAAAGTTGGGTATCCATCCCCTGAAGCATCTGTCCTTTGTGTTACTAACAATCCAATTATACTCTTTTAATTATTTTATTTTAATTTTGAGACAGAGCCTCGCTCTGTCAAGCAGGCTGGAATGCATTGGTGCAATCTTGGCTCACTGCAACTTCCGCCTCCCAGGTTCAAGCGAACTTTGGGCTGGTTTTGAACTCCTGACCTCAGGTGATCCGCCTGCCTTGGCCTCCCAATGTGTTGAGATTACAGGCATGAGGCACTGTCCCGGGTCTGTTATACATTTAAAAATAACTAAAAGAGTCAGGGTACAGTGGCTCACACCTTTAATCCCAGCATTTTGGGAGGCTGAGGCAGGCAGATCAGCTGAGGTCAGGAGTTCGAGACCAGCCTGGCCAACGTGGAGAAACCTCATCTCTACTAAAAACACAAAAATTAGCCAGGCATGATGGCGGGCACCTATAATCCCAGCTACTCGAGAGGCTGAGGTGGGAGAATCACTTGAACCTGGTTGGGCAGAGGTTGCATTGAGCCAAGACCATACCACTGCACTCCAGTCTGGGTAGCAGAGTGAGACTCCATCTCAAAAAATAAAAATAAAAATGAAATAAAATCAGTTCGGGTGTGGTAGCTCATACCTGTAGTCCCAGCACTTTGGGAAGCCGAGGTGGGTGGATTGCTTGAGTCCAGGAGTTTGAGACCAGCATGGACAACATGGCGAAACACTGTCTGTACAGAAATTAGCCGGGTGTGGTGGTGCACCACTGTAGTCCCAGCTACTCAGGAGATTGAGGTGGGAGGATTAATGGAGCCTGGGAGGTTGAATCTACCGTGAGCTGAGATTGTGCCACTGCCCTCCAGCCTGGGCAACCAAGTGAGATTCTGTCTAAAACAACAAAAATTATTATTGACTATATATTATCGAGTATAATCCCTCTGCTGTGCTATCGAATACCAGGTCTTGGGCTTTATTTCCAGCACTGAACGAGCTTCACTCTATTGAGCAGCATCTGTGGAATTTCATCTTTATTCAATAATTCACAGTGTTAGAAGGAATTGCTGTTTGGTAGACTAATAATGCTTTACTTTTCTTCAAAAGGTTACTCTTTATTAGATGAGATGGGAATTAAAAATGGTAACTTACTTGATATTTTTATAATTGAGGCCCACTAGACCTTAGTTATCAGATGTTTTATGCATTTAAATGGCCTTTTCTCTAAACATAAAAAGTAACAGTGAAAGGAAATGCTTTGTTTCTATGCAACTCTCTTGGTGACTAGTGCGTGTCTCCTAATGCATCACTCATTGCACCCCTCAGAATGGTGCCCCTCGGAGTTTGCGTGCTGCCCTGTGGAGGTTTGCTGAGCTGGCTCACTTGGTTCGGCCTCAGAAATGCAGGTAAGCTGTACACTCTGGATGATGATGTTTGTCAGGGGCCAGCTGCTACTCCTTTATGTCTCAGCACAGATGTCATTTCAGAAGTCTACTCTGCCTCCTCCAAATTGCAGTCGACTTTGCCTTGTGCATGTTTCCCTCATAGCACTAATCCGTGTCAAAAATTGTCACGTGCAGTCTATCTGTGTGCTTGTTCATTTTCTCTCCCACCCTCCCCCAAGAGACTTATGGGATGTGTGCTCCAGGACAGCAGGGGTCTTAGTGTCCTGTTCTCTGTTGCAGCCCAACACCAGTGACAGTGTCTGCTGTAATACTTGCTTGAGAGATACTTGCCAAACTGTTGAAGGTTGAGGTACCAACTTCATTATTGCTGACTATGGGACTTATAGCAAAATATCCATTTGTCTATTACATGAGTTAAAAATATGATTGTTGTACTGTCACTAGTTTTGTCTAGTCAAAACGGTTGTATCTTAATGGATTGAGAAACAAAAGCAAAACCACTTTTCATCAGCTCTTTCCGTCTCCTTAACCTGCAATACATGCTGATGTCCCACAGACCCTCAGCTCGATCCTGAGTCACTGGGAGAGTGGTCTAAACCCTCCCTATTAATATGAACTGAGTTTCAATACAAATCTTATAGGGGTCGGGTGTAGTGACTCATACCTGTAACCCCAGCACTTTGGGAGGCTGCAGCCGGTGGATTGCTTAAGCCAAAGTGGGCAACATGGTGAAACCCTGCCTCTATAAAAAATACAAAATTAGCCAGTCACGGTGGTGCGTGCCTGTAGTCACGGCTACTTGAGAGGCTGATGTGGGAGGATCACTTGAGAGCCTGGGAGTTGGAGGTCATGTTGAGCCAAGATCGCGTCACTGCAGTCCAGCCTGGGCGACAGAGTGAGACCTGTTTCAGAAAAACAAAAAACCAAAAAAACTTGCATAGCTGCAGAGGCATAATCACTAAGGAAATTCCTTTTTTTATAATCTTTTTTCTTTTACTATCATTTCAAAAAATGTGTTCTATTTCTGAAGCAACATATCCCAGGTTCTCCGCATAGCAGCCAAAGCGACCTTAAAGAATATAATTTGGTCTTGTCATTCCCTTATTTAAACTTTTGTACCCATTTCCCAGCACCATCTAGATAGATTCCAGACCCGTCACTGGCTCTGTCTCCTCAGACACTCTGCATTGATTCATTGGTCTGATTAGTTCTTCAGACGAGTCAGGTTTTCCTTCCTTCTGATGGTTGGGTTGCCCCCTTCCCCTCAGTTCTCAGCAAACAGTCACTTCCTTAGGGAGGTTCCCCCAGCCTCCCTGTCTTGCCCTGTCCCTCGTGTGGGCGCTGCCTTCTGAGGCCCTGCTTGTTGCCAAGCTGTGCCACTAGAGGGTGGGGCTGTGCTTCTCCTGGTGCCTGGCACCTGGCCTGCCCTGTCGCTGTGTGTGTTGGGTGAATTCCTGCAGTCTCTGACTCACTGCTCTGTGTCCTACACATTCTGCTTTTCTTCTTAACCAACAGTCCCATTTTATAATTCTCCTTTTTCAGGAAAGCTTTATTCACATTTAAAAAGTTTTGTTTTTTAAAATGGTATTTTTTACCGTTATCTATTATTTTCCAGTTAAAAATGAGTACTTTAATAAGTACTTTGATTTACTGCAAATAATTTTTAAACCCAGCCTTTTGGATCCTCTGTGATCATAAGAGAAATGAAGGATGCCTCCCGACACTTGAGCTTCACCCACATTTCTTCCTCCTGTTCTTCTAGCTGAGTTTTGCTCATCTCCATTAGGGACTGTTTTGTGTATAAAACTGGCCTTTCCCTAACAGGGAATGAATTGCTTCTGTTTCTCCTGAAGGAGACCTGGAAGAATGACTTGCGTTCTTCTGCATCCACAGGCCTTATCTGGTGAACCTTCTGCCGTGCCTGACTCGAACAAGCAAGAGACCCGAGGAATCAGTCCAGGAGACCTTGGCTGCAGCTGTTCCCAAAATTATGGCTGCTTTCGGCAATTTTGCAAATGACAATGAAATTAAGGTATGATTGTTGCCTCAGATCACAAACATGCGAGTGGCGCTGTGAGCGAGTCTGGAGGGTCAGGGCTTCTGAACAGGCAGTCTCTTGGGAGTGCTTGTTGGGGTAGGTTGTGTGTTGTAATTTAGACTACCACCATTTGTGTGATTTCTGAGGCACCTAAGGACTTATTTTCACTTCTGATTTCTTATTGTGGGTGAAGAGTTGAATAGGGAGATGGTTTATAGATGCAAATTCAAAAGGCACTTTTCCAGAGCAGGTTGGTTTTCGGTGTACTAGAGTGACTCACCTAGCTGAGGAAAGATGAGTGTCAGGACTGCAGGTAGGAGAAGGGTCACTGGTGCGGCCCTGTGGGTCTGAGCGCCCCGCAGCTGTCAGGGCCACTTGGCTTCCTGTTGGGCATTCCGACAAACCACCTGCAAGCCCACTTCAGTGTTTTGTTTGTAATGTCCAGAAATAGTGACCCTGTCACATGGTCTGCAGTTTACAGGATTCTTAGCCTCTTCCTTTTTGGTGGGTTGGTCATGGGTTTGAGCCCAAGTGGCCCTCCTGGGAGGAGGTATTACACAGTGGGTAGAGTATTCCTTTTGGAATCAGATGGACTTGGATTAGAATTCTGTCCTCTTTACTAGTTCTTTTCCTCTAGGCAAACTACCCAACAGCTCAAAGCTGTTTCCTTTGTACTCTGAAAAATAAGACTGGCTGGGCGCGGTGGCTCACGCCTGTAATCCTGGCACTTCGGAAGGTCGAGGCGGGCGGATCACCTAAGGTTGGGAGTTTGAGACCAGCCTGACCAACATGGAGAAACCCTGACTTTTCTAAAAATACAAAATTAGTTGGGCATGGAGGCGCATGCCTGTAATCCCAGCTATGTGGGAGGCTGAGGTAGGAGAATTGCTTGAACCCAGAAGGCAGAGGTTGTAGTGAGCTGAGATCACACCATTGCACTGCAGTCTGGGCAAAAAGAGCAAAACTCCATCTCAAAAAAAACAAAAAACAAAAAAAACAAAGCCTTAATGGGACCCATGTAGGGCAATTCTAAGAGTAAGTAAATGAATACGTGTTAGAGTGTAGCATAGTAGCCAACAGGAAGGGCTCACATGGGAGCGGCTACTGCTCTTATTAGCTGAATGTCTTGGAATAAACTATTAACCTCTCATGTTTTTTCTCTGAGCTTTGATGTTTTCTTGTTAATACTAAGGAGATATTCAAACTAGTCATGGGGCTTTGGAATGACAAAGGGAGATCATGAATCTAAAGAATTTAGCGTAATGATTAATTCATCATGCTCAGTAAAGGGTAGCTGCTGCTGTTATTTTTATTACCATCTCTTTGGAGTGGGAGGAGGTGCTCCTTTGCGGTCAGAAGCTGTGAGAGCCCCAACAGCGCCACTCCGCCCGTCTGTACACTGGGGCCTGTTGAAGGCTGTTCCCTTTGTGATATCTCTGACTGTCAGGGTCAGATGACAGATGATATTTTTGTAGTCTTTGTTATCATCTTCATGATGTAGATCACCATCTGAGTATGACGATGCTAACGCTTTGTTGAACATAGAGTCCATTAATTACTTCCTTCCTGAACCTTTGGCATTAAAAAAAAAAACTATTCTGCTACCTCCCTGCTCATTTATGATTTATCAAAATTATTATCAAGAGCCTGGTATGATGGCTTGTGTCTATAATTGCAGCTGCTCAGGGGGCTGAGGTAGGAGGATTGTTTGAGGCCAGGAGTTTGAGATCAGCTTGGTCAGTATAGTGAGACTCTCTCTCTAAAAAAATGAAAAAAAATTAGCTGGGCATAATGGCACGTGCCGGTAGTCCCAGCTACTCAGGAGGCAGGAGGATCGCTTGAGCCCAGGAATTTGAGTTTGAGGCTACATTGAGCTGTGATTGTGCCACCACACCCCAGCATGGGTGACAAAATGAGATGCCATTTCTTAAAAAGGAAGGTATTATCAGTAAAATTCAGTAGTACCAACAGGATTATAAATAAAGATAGTAGTTCCCTTCCTGCTTAATCCTTGTGTCTCAGAGACAAACATGACTTTTAGTGTTTCTTCTTGCTCTGGGTTGAAACTGCGGAGAGAGGACCTGGGGATGGAGAGGAGAATGGACAAAGTTGGTGACTGTACTTTCCTGGTCATTCCTGAGTTTTCAGCACCCTGGGATCTGCTGGTCACCTGCTTACAGGCCAGGCCCCTATTGAAGTTCTAGGTGACCCAGTGCTGGGGACAGGATCGTCTTCCCCATAGGGTAGCCTGGGGGCGGTCATCTGCAAGGTCTAACCATGGAGGTGCGGGCTGCAGTGTTGGCTGGGGCCAGCATCCTTAGGAAGGCATTTTGGAGGAGGAAGAGACAGCGCCCACTGCTTGACGGGGGCCCTCAGCAGCACCAGCTTCTTGGGCAGGCTGGTGCTGGCGTTCATCACTGTGTCATGTTCAGTCTTCTTCCAGATCCTGACTTGTAGGTTCACCTTTCCTCAGACCCTGGTTCCTTTCAGAGGCCATTGCTGCTGCCTTGCTCTTTGCTGGTTTGTGCCTTGATTACATGTCTCTGTATAACTTTTTGTTTTCCTAGAGTTAATCATTACCTCTGTATTGCTTGCTTATTATTCTTTGGCCTTTTTGTCTTATACCTTCCAACTGCTTTGTAAAACATGTTTAGTACAATTTTTCATGATAGGTAATGTACTGAGTCAGTTTTTCCCCAGTGGGGTCATCCCTCTTGAGTTCTCCAGCTCTCTACCCCTGGGCAGGTTGCTCTTCAGGTCTGTTGCACACTTGTATCCTAGGACGTCTCTTTGCTGTCATCCTGCAATTTCCTTTGCTCTTCTGTTGGATGCCCAGTTTCTAGATGCCATATGTTTATCTTTCTATCCTCCTAGTAACTTCCTAAGATGAGTGGGAGGTAAATTGTATGAGGTTTTGCATTCATAAAAATGCCATTTTTTTCTCCCATACATTTGGCTGGGTATAGTGTTCTGGGCTAGAAATCATTGTCCCTCAGAAATGCAAAGTCTTTGCCCCTTTGTCTTAAAGTCTCCAACATGACCCTATTCCTTAACCTATCAATGTGCTGTTCTCTAGAAGCTTTCCATTTTTGGGGAGGTGAGGTACTAGGTACTTAGTAGGCCTTTTAATTTGGAAACATTTATCGTTTCAGTTCTGGGAAGATTTTCTTACTTTTCTCTGAGAAGTTCTTGACCTTTATTTTCTGTGTTCTGTCTTTCTGAAATTCGTTAGTTGGATGTTGGTACTCCTGGATTGATTCACATCTTACCTTTTTCTTTTCTTTTTCTGTACTTTTTAGATATCCATCTCAAACTCTTCTAGTCAATGTTATGTTTTTAACTTATTTCTTTTCTTTCTGTCTTGGTGGGGTCTTGCTCTGTTGCCCAGGTTGAGGTGCAGTGGTGCGATCATAGCTCACTGCAGCCTCAAACTCCTGGGCTCCAGCAGCCGTTCTGCCTCAGCCTCCTAAGTAGTTGGGACTACAGGTATGCACCACCGTTATCCAGCTATTTTCTTTTCTTTCTTTCTTTCTTTCTTTTTTTTTTTTTTTTTTTTT